AAGTGCTGGGATTACAGGCTTGAGCCACCGCGCCCGGCCTAGAGCACACTATTTGAGCAGTCCTGCTGACATTACATGGGCAATTTCGTGAAAGTCACCTTCATTAGCCTCTTTGACCCTGTGCCATTTTCACTTACTGACTGATTCTGCATTTCCACCCACTGCTATGAAATGATTCAATAAAATAATGGTGGCCTCAGAGAAAGTATTTTCTTCTCTAGAGTTAACTCTTTTCAGTTTGTTCTGGATTGGGCCTCTTCTCAGTTCAAAGAGTACTTTGCATCTATATAAGTGTCCTGAGGGCATCTGTATTACCCTTCTCACACAGTTTCCAAATTGACCCTACCACTATTAAAATTCACAATCTGAATCTTTCCCTCCTCAATTAAAGTTATCAAAGAGAATATCTCATCTTATTACTGAAATTTCCCACACAGTCCCTATCATTTAGCTCCCATCTGATCCTCTAACTGAAACTAATATCTATAGATTTTTGGCAATATGACAAAAGGGACAACTTGATTTTATTTCAGAATCTGTTTATGTAGCCCACACTTTCAACAAGCTGCACTTCAAAGATATGAAAATTCTTATAGCAAGTCTTTGGCCTCCATTCTCATTGTACATATCTTTCTACACAACTCCTAGGATTACTTTCTCTAGTAATTATCTGCATCCCACTCTTATTAGGGCTCACACATATACCTGATCAAATCAAAACTCTGCATGCCAGTATTCAGGTCTGCAAGTTACAGACACATCCAATTCCATATTTGTCCAAATTTACTTTTGGTTCCATTCAGTTTAGGCCTTCCTTCTCCATCTCTTCGCCACCACACACCTCTGAACCTCTCATCAAGCTGTTCTACCCACCAAAAAATTGACTGCCCCATTGATCATTATAAATATTTTAAGATTTACACCAAACATCAGGACATGCAATAGGCCCACCTAGGTTAAACCCTTCCATCTCACCCTCCCATATGCTGTGTGATATGACCATGTCCACCTTCAATTTATGGCTCTATGTTTTTAATTTTCTAACTTATTTGTATTTCCATTTCATCTGAGGTATGCATTCTGTCTTCCCTCAGATAAATTATTAGTACCTAAAAATAGTGCTGACATATTCTAATTGTTTAACAATTCAATTCTAAATCCTCCATGGTGCTTTGCGAGATCCATACACATAATATGTACTTAAAATGCTTGTTAAGTGTTTCTTGCCTCACCACATAAGCAATCAGTATAGAACTAATCAATGAAATCAATGAACCATAAGATACAGGCAAACAAATAACATTTTACCTGTTCCATTTTGATCAGGAAACAATCAATAAAGTCCCGAGGATTGTTCACGTCCAGGGATTCTTGATGTTCTTTTATTCTCTCCAAAACATAACTTTTAACATAAGCAAAATTTTTAAGAACTTTGTTGTGACTTCCTGGGAGATAATCGATGAGAACCGGGAAATTATTGCAGACCTTAAAGATTTTTTTAAAAGTGATTAAATTAAACACATGTAATGAAGACATATACCGAAAGGCAACTGCTGGTTTAAAACTGGAGTGAATTTTAAAAAATTGTCTCCCTCTTTAAGAGGAGCATTTGATTGTACATACAAAGTAATCCCCTATACTGACAGAAATATTTTAGGGAGAAAATTCTGAACAAGGGATCAAAGATGATAACTTCCTATAATCATATATTGTTTTTGGAATATTAAAATATCTTCATGTCAATTATCTCATTTTTTATATTAATTCTTCTCTGCAGCCTTGAAATACAGAATGCAATGAATTGCTTTAATTCCCATTTTACAGATAAGAACAGAGCTAAAGGAAGTTTGAACAACATGAAATAGATCACAAAGCCACTCCCTGCTATTTCTACTCCTAGTAGGCAGCCTCAGAAATGGAATCACTCTTTTATAACTGGGAGGAGTCAAAAGATACCATAAAATGTAATTCAGAATTTTATGAATAAGTACCCATACACCACAGTAGTTAAGATACTTCTGTGAGTAAAGATAACACACAATTATCTTAAACTCTAAAGACAGACTTTGGGACATGCTAGCTCAGCACAGGGCAAAGCTGTAATTTTTTTTAATGGTTCATACACCCAAAACCCCATCATTTTGTCATCTTAACCTTAATTACCTTGCTGAAGCATTAAACACCCCTATCCTATTCAGAGCTTCCTGGAAGCATCTGTGCTCCCAAACATTATCCCCTTTTGCCAAATAATGTCATGAAGAGGTCTCTAGATGTTGATTAGAGGAAAAGCCTGTGAGTAATGCCAACTTTTCAACAAGGGACTTGGATTTTCATTGAGTGTGTGCTCTTGGGTAGTCACCAAATTACTGCCAGAAACTGGGTTTGGTGGTTTAGTGGAAAAAACACAAGCTAATGGGCTTGAATTCCACCTCTATATTTGGGCATTTCTTTTCTTGTCTGTAAAATGAAGAAATCATCTCTTTCCCAGATGTTAATGCCACCATGCCAAGATATGGACAAGCTGTGGTGTTCAACCACTGACTTCACAGAGTAATGCCAGCAAAACTGCCACAACAGGCAGATCCACAGGCCCACCACTCCATAAAAACACCCAAAAATTCAAACAAAAAAGTCAGAATCAATTTTGACAGAACTCTGGAAAGCAGTCAAAGGTTTATAGCAAACAAGGAAAAGCTGAATTTAAAAAAAAAAAAAAAAAAAAAAAAAAAAAAAAAAATCAACTGAATAACAAGTAGATGTTTGTACATTCATAAATAAAAAATGAAAAGTCGGACAGAGATTAAAAATAGTAGAAAACCTCTGTGGGTTTATTTTTATCTTTATTTTAAGTTCCAGGGTACATGTGCAGGATGTGCAGGTTTGTTACATAGGTAAACGTGTGCCATGGTGGTTTGCTGCACCTATAAACTCATCACCTAGGTATTAAGCCCCGCATACATTAGCTATTTTTTCCTAATGCTCTCCCTCCCTGCAACCCCAAACAGGCCCTAGCGTATATTGTTCCCCTCCCTGTGTCCAAGTATTCTCATTGTTCAGCTCCCACTTATAAGTGAGAACATGAGGTATTTGGTTTTCTGCTCCTGGATTAGTTTGCTTATGATAATGGCTTCCAGCTCCATCCATGTCCCTGCAAAGGAAATGATCTCATTCCTTTTTATGGCTGCATAGTATTCTATGATGTATATGTAAGCTTTGTGGTATGTTTATTTGCCCTTGTCCCACCTCCCTCATCAGCTTGGTAGTGATCTTGTCAAGAGCAGCCCTATTCCCAGTGGAGGACCCTAGTTCCTGGTATCTAAAGGGACCACAGAATATCTTATTTGCAAATAATTCTGTTTCTCTGTCTTACCTGTCTGATGACTACCATGGGCTAATATGAGGCACTTACCTTTTTTTCACCTGATTCAAAATTCACTCAGGATAGAAAAGCAATGGACATTTCTCAAAAGCCTTCTAAGACAAATGAACAACCCAAAGCTACCTGGGACAAATGATTATAGTTGAGGCACATAGTAGAGCACAAAAATCCTGAGAATAAAAGCTGGGAGATAGTTTCTTTGGAAAACTGGGTCATTCAAAAGTGCCTATATATACTAAGAAATTTAGAAAGCTATCAACATGCCCAGAGCAGGACAAGCTAACAAAAAAAACGTGAGAAGGTGCTAGACTTTCACCTCTGGCTGATATCCAGACTCAGCTTAAGCAGCAAGTGAAGGCTATGAAAAGGAGTGTTCCAGCCAATCTGAAAAATCTTCCTTCCTTGCTTCCTTCCTTCCTTCCCTCCTTCCTTCCTTTGTTTCTTTCCTTCCTTCCTTCCATCTTTCTTTCATTATTTATACATATAAATACATATAAACATATTTTTATACGTCCCTTTTCTGCCTCTTCACATTCAAGAAAATTTCCATCAAAACTAGCTGAACATAAGCGAAAAAGAAGACTTCAGAAACCACACAGGACAAAGAATACAGACTTTGCAAAAATAGTTTAGAAAAGTCAATAAAGAAAGCTACAGCCTTCAGAAGGGGAAGAAAAAAAAAAACTATAACAGGCAACAAAAAGCCCTAAAGAGAGGAAAGATTCTGATTTCCAGAGTTACCACATAAGGTTACACATAATTTCCAGTTTTCAAACATTCATTTCACAGCTTGGTCCATACAAAATTTTGGACTGGGATTGAGGCAAGATGGCTGAATAGGAACAGCTCTGGTCAACAGCTCCCAGTGAGACCAGTGCAGAAGGCAAGTGTTTTCTGCATTTCCAACTGAGGTGCCTGGTTCATCTCATTGGGACTGGTTAGACAGTAGGTGCAGACAACAGAGGGCAAGCAGAAGCATGGTGGGGCATCACCTCACCTGGGAAGCACAAGAAGTTGAGAAAACTTCCTCCCCTAGCCAAGGGAAGCTGTGAGGAACTGCATCATGACGGGCAGTGCTATCTAGCCCAGATATGATGCTTTTCCCATGGCCTTCAAAACTCATAGACCAGGAGATTCCCTCAGGTGCCTATACTACAAGGACCTTAGGTTTCAAGCACAAAACTGGGTGACTGTTTGGGCAGACACCAAGGTACTGCAGGAGTTGTTGTTGTTGTTGTTGTTGTTGTTGTTTGGTACCCCAGTGGTGCCTGGAACCCCAGCAAGACAGAACCATTCACTCCCCTGGAAAAGGGGTCTGAATCCAGGGAGCCAAGTGGTCTTGCTCAGTGGATCCCACCCCCATGGAGCCCAGAAAGCTAAGATCCACTGGCTTGAAATTCTCGCTACCAGCACAGCAGTCTGAAGTAGACCTGGGATGCTGGAACTTGATGCGGGGAAGGGTGTCCTCCATTACTGAGGCTTGAGTAGGTGATTTGCCCCTCACAGTGTAAACAAAGCCTCAGGAAGTTTGGACTGAGTGGAGCCCACCACAGCACCACAAAGCCCCTGTAGCCAGACTGTCTCTCTAGACTCCACCTCTCTGGGCAGGGCATATCTGAAAAAAAGGCAGCAGCCTCAGTCGGGGCTTATAGATAAAACTCCTATCTCCCTGGGACAGAACACCTGGGGAAAGGGGTGGCTGTGGGTGCAGCTTCAGCAGACTTAAACATTCCTGCCTGCCAGCTCTGAAGAGAGCAGCAGATCTCCCAGCACAGTGCTCAAGCTCTGCTAAGGGACAGACTGCCTCCCCAAGCTCTGCTAAGGAGACTGCCCCCAAGTCTCCTAACAGGGAGATGCCTCTCAGCAAGGGTCAACAGACAACTCATACAGGAAAGTTTCAGGTGGCATCTGGTATGTTCCCCTTTGGGATAAATCTCCAAAGGAATGAACAGGCAGCAATATTTGCTGTTCTGCAGCCTCTGCTGGTAATACCCAGGCAAAAAGTGTCTGGAGTGGACCCCCAGCAAACTCCAGCAGACCTGCAGAAGAGGGGCCTGACTGTTAGAAGGAAAACTAACAAACAGAAAGCAATAGCATCAACATCAACAAAGATGATGACCATGCAAAAATGCCATCTGAAGGTTACCAACATCAAAGACCAAAGGTAGATAAATCCACAAAGATGAGGAAAAACCAGTGCAAAAAGGCTGAAAATTCAAAAAACCTGAATGTCTCTTCTTTTCCAAAGGATCACAACTCTCGCAAACAAGGGAACAAAACTGGACAGAGAATGAGTTTGACAAATTGAGAGAAGTAGGCTTCAGAAAGTGGGAAATAACAAACTATTCCAAGTTAAAGGAGGATGTTCTAACCCAATGCAAGGAAGCTAAGAACCTTGATAAAAGGTTAGGGGAATTACTAACTAGAATAACCAATTTAGAGGAGAAGATAAATGATCTGATGGGGCTGTAAAACATAGCACAAGAACTTTGTGAAGCATACACAAGTATCCCTTAGCTGAATCAATCAAGCAGAAGAAAGGATATCACAGATTCAAGATCAATTTAATGAAATATAGTGTGAAGATGAGATTAGACAAAATAGAATGAAAGGAAGGAACAAAGCCTCCAAGAAATATAGGACTATGTGAAAAGACCAAGCCTACATTGGATTGGTGTACCTGAAAGTCACGTGGAGAATGAAACCAAGTTGGAAAACACTCTTTAGGATATTATCCAGAACTTTCCCAACCTAGCAAGACAGGCCAACATTCAAATTCAGGAAATAGAACACCACAAAGATACTCCTCAAAAAGAGCAACCCCAAGACACATAATTGTCAGATTCACCAGGGTTGAAATGAAGGAAAAATGTTAAGGGCCATCAGAGAGAAAGGTCAGGTTATCCACAAAGGAAAGCCAATCAGACTAACAGTGGATGTCTCTGCAGATACCCTACAGCCAGAAGGCAGTGGGGGCCAATATTCGGCATTCTTGAAGAAAAGAGTTTTCAACCCAGAATTTCATGTCCAGCCAAAATAAGCTTCATAATCTTCACCACCAGGCCTGCCTTATAAGTGCTCCTGAAGAAAGCACTAAATATGGAAAGAAAAAACTGGAACCAGCCACTGCAAAAACATACCAAATTGTAAAGGCCATCAACATTCTGAAGAAACTGCATCAGCTAATGGGCAAAATAACCAGCTAGCATTGTAATGACAGGTTCACACACAACAATATTTACCTTAAATGTAAAGGGCTAAATGCCCCAATCAAAAGACACAGACTGGCAAATTGGACAGTCAAGACCCATTGGTTTGCTGTATTCAGGAAACCCATCTCACGTGCAAAGACATACATAGGCTCAAAATAAAAGGATGGAAGAAGATTTGCCAAGCAAGTGGAAAGCAAAAAATGAAATAAAATAAAAAATAAAGCAGGGGTTGCAATCGTAGTCTATGATAAAACAGACTTTAAACCAACAAAGGTCCAAAAGGGCAAAGAAGGACATTACATAATGGTAAAGGGATCAATGCAACAAGAAGAGCTAACCATCTTAAATATATATGCACCCAATACAGGAGCACCCAGATTCATAAAGACAGAGACCTAGAAAGAGACTTAGACTCCCACACAATAACAGTGGAAGACTTTAAAACTCCCCTCTCAATCATAGATCAACAAGACAGAAAATTAACAAGGATATTTAGGACTTGAACTCAGCTCTGGACCAAGTGGACCTAATAGACATCTACAGAATTCTCCATCCCAAATCAACAGAATATATATTCTTCTCAGCACCACATCACACTTATTCTAAAATCGACCACATAATTGAATGTAAAACACTCCTCAGCAAATGCAAAAGAATAGAAATCATTAAAAAGTCTCTCGACCACAGTACAATCAAATTAGAACTCAGGATTAAGAAACTCACTCAAAACTGCACAACTACATGGAAACCAAACAACCTGCTCCTGAATGACTTCTGGGTAAATAACATAATTAAGGCAGAAATAAATAAGTTCTTTGAAACCAATGAGAACAAAGACACAACATACCAGAATCTCTAAGACACAGCTAAAGCAGTGTTTAAAGGAAAATTTATAGCACTAAATGCCTGCAAAAGAAAGCGGGAAACATCTAAAATCGACACCCTAACTTCACAATTAAAAGAACTAGAGAAGCAAGAGCAAACAATTTCAAAAACTAGCAGAAGACAAGAAATAACTAAGATCAGAGCGGAACTGAAGAAGATAAGCGACACAAAAAGCCCTTCAAAAAAAAAAAATCAATGAATCCAGGAAGAATCAATATCATGAAATGGCCATACTGCCCAAAGTAATTTATAGATTCAATGCTATTCCCATCAAGCTGCCATTAACTTTTTTCACAGAATTAGAAAAAACTACTTTAAATTTCATATGGAACCAAAAAGGAGCCCAGACAGCCAAGACAATCCTAAGCAAAAAGAACAAAGCTGGATGCATCATGCTACCTGACTTCAAACTATACTACAAGGCTACAGTAACCAAAACAGCATAGTACTGGTACCAAAACAGATATATAGACCAAGAGAACAGAACAGAGGCCTTAGAAATAATGCACCACATCTACAACCATCTGATCTTTGACAAACCTGACAAAAACAAGCAATGGGTAAAGGATACTCTATTTCATAAATGGTGTTGGGAAAACTGGCTAGCCATTTGCAGACAACTGAAACTGGACTCCTTCCTTACACCTTATTAAAAAATTACCTCAAGATGGATTAAACATTTAAATGTAAGACCTAAAACCATAAAAACCCTAGAAGAAAACTTAAGCAATACCATTCAGGACATAGACATGGGCAAAGACTTCATGACTAAAACACCAAAACAATTGCAACAAAAACCAAAATTGACAAATGGGATCTAATTAAACTAAACAGCTTCTGCACAGCAAAAGAAACTATCATTAGAGTGAACAGGCAACTTACAGAATGGGAGAAAAATTTTGCAATCTCTCCATCTGATAAAGGGCTGATATCCAGAATGTACAAAGAACTTAAACAAATTTACAAGAAAAAAAAAATCAAAAAGTGGGCAAAGGATATGAACAGACACTTCTCAAAAGAAGACATTTATGTGGCCAATAAACATATGAAAAAAAGCACACTGCTGATCATTACAGACATGCAAATTAAAACCACAATGAGATACCCTCTCATACCAGCTGGGATGCTGATCCTTAAAAAGTCAGAAAACAACAGATGCTGAAGAGTATGTGGAGAAACAGGAAGGTTTTTACACTGTTGGTAGGAACGTAAATTAGTTCAACCACTGTGGAAGACAGTGTAGCAATTCCTCAAGGATCTAAAACCAGAAATACCATTTAACACAGCAATCCCATTACTGGGTATATACCCAAAGATTATAAATCATTCTACTATAAAGAAACATGCACACATATGCTTATTGCAGCACTATTCACAACAGTGGACCCAACCCCAATGCCCACCAATGTTAGACTGGATAAAGAAAATGTGGCACATGTACACCATGGGATGCTATGCAGACATAAAAAAGAATGAGTTCATGTCCTTTGTGGAGACATGGATGAAACTGGAAACCATCATTCTCAGCAAGCTAACAGGAACAGAAAATCAAACACCATATGGTCTCACTCATAAGTGGCAGTTGAATAATGAGAACACATGGACACAGGGAGGGGAACATCACACACCACGGCCTGCCAGGGGATCAGGGGCAAGAGAAGGGATAGCATTAGGAGAAATACCTAATGTAGATGATGGGTTGATTGGTGTAGCAAACCACCATGGCACATGTATACTTATGTAACAAACCTGTATGTTATACACATGTATTCCACAACTTAAAGTATAGTTTAAAAAACTAAAAAATAAATTTGGACTGTCTGATAAAATAACATAAATTATATCTCAGGAATAGAAGCTCTTGATCTCACCTGGATCCATGGGGAGCTCAGAAGCCTGAGGTTTTCATTGAACTTTTCCATCAAGTTAAGAAATCTCTGATCTTTATAATCAAATCGCTTATGGAAAACAACAGAGCAGATCACATTGCAGGGAGCACAGCCCAGGATGAAAGTGGGATCACAGGGTAAGGCTACAGGATTGGAAAGATTTAAAATTACCATTAAAATGTACATATAAAACACTTTGTCTCTGATAACAGAAAAAGGTAATTTTAGAAACTCTAAAGCAATAACTACCTAGAAATTCTCTTATCAACAGAAACTACAGCATATTTAAATTTAATACATCACTTTTCCCTTAAAACTGAATTAATCATTCCATCCTAGCTTTTTAATAATGGCTTTTCAAATACTGCATTTAATTCATTGACTTTTTTACACAATTCTGACCCAAGATGCCTGTTATTTTGAAGAGAAAAAGAAAAAATTTGAAGAGGCCACATTTAAAAGCACCTAATAATTCAAGTTTTCAATGCAAAATAACATCTATCTGGAAAGCTTGTAAACAATTGATTGATCTAGGAAGGGAGAAAATAGGAACCTGAAAACCTCTTATATATAGTGAATATTTACAGGGACTGTGTGTAGAACCAGCAGAGGGGGAGACTAAAGAAAGAAAGGGTATGGGGAAATTCAGGTTGACGGAACAAATGTAAAAAAGCAAAAGCCATCTATGTTATACAAGACAAAAACTAGCACAAATAAGAAGATTGATTGGTTTGTCTAAAATAAAAGTAAATAAGAAACTTTCATTTCAAACCTAAATTACAGATAGGGCAGACAGAAGAAGTTAAATTGATAAATGGACTCTTTTTATCTCCTTATTTCAATATTGAAAGAAAAAAAAAAGAATTTTCTACTCTAAGAAATGGTGTCTATTATCACCAGGCACTATCTTCAGTTTATTTGAACAAAGCCTGACCTCTTATAGAATCCTAGGTTATTGTTCTATCTAGCAATCAAAAAAATACCTTATGTCATTATAAATTTGATCATCATTTAGGTAATTCCATCATTTTACAAATAAATAAATTAATATAGAGAAAATTGGTTGTGAGAGTTTTTAAATAAAATTGTTGTAATCAAATCATCAATGAACTTTACATTTGAGAGTATCATAAATGTAATTAAGAGTGACTTGAACAAAAATACTGTGCAGTAATGATGGGAAATTAAATAATAGGACCCTGTTTAGTTAACTGCTCCTATGCCAGGCTTCTTTTCAGCTGAAACGTGCCAGGTCACTAAGCTTTCAGAAATTCTTTTATTCTAGCCTGGAAGGCAGGGGATAATTTGAGATTATCAGTTTGAGATTTCTCTGTGTGTGTGTGTGTGTGTGTGTGTGTGTGTGTGTGTGTGTGTGTGTGTGTGTGTATGCGCATCCACAAGATATTTATAGTGAAAATCTGGTTTCTGATCTTTCCTTTCACTTCACTTGGGGGAGTGTGTTAGGTTGTTCTTGCATTGCTATAAAAAAAATACCTGAGAATAGGTAGTTTATAAGAAAAGAGGTTTAATTGGCTCACAGTTCTGCAGGCTGTACAGGAAGCATGATGCTGGCATCTGGGGAGGTACTGGAAGCTTACAACCATGGTGGTAGGCAAAGCAGGAGTTTGCACTCCTGTGGCAAAAGTTGAAGCAAAAGAGGGAGGTGAGAGGTGCTACACACTTTTAAACAACCAGATTTCATGAGAATTCACTCACTATCATGAGGACAGTACCAAGAGAAATGGTGCTAAACTAATCCAAGCTGAAAATCAGACTCACTGTGACAAGTACTTTATTGGTGAATCCAACTGGGATGGGGAGAGGATAAATAAACTTTTAATCCCAAATCCAATTGTTTTAAAATTCACTGAGGATTTTGTTTCCATTTAGATATGGTGAGGTCAACAGATCAGGTTGCCCTGAAACAGACTGCCCTTGAAAAGATAGTTCATTGCTCACAGTTCCTAGAGGAGGGGCACTCCACACCATGTTGAGGATGTGGGGGGGCAGGTGGTTGGGAGACCCCACAAGTGCTGAGGCAAGGGTCTGAAGCCTCAGCCTGTTTCCATATAAATAATGAAATAGAAAAAAAATTACAAATATAATAACATAATTATTCATAAGCCATCATAGATATAGATACCTAGATATATATACTCAGTATAACCTTAGAATTTTGCTAATGTTTCTCGAGTTGCAAAGTGTGCCCCTAAGGTGACATTGTGAAAGAAGTGACCCTAAGGCAAGATGCCGTAAGCTCTCTGTCATGCCCGTCCGTGTAAGGGCTGCTGGAGGGCACCTTGGCTATGCAGCAATGCCAGCACTGGGAAAGTGCCACTGATTAGCACGCTATGGAAGGAGACGTCTGAGATATCTCCTTCCTCTGAGGAGTTAAGAGAAAACTCTGCTCCCCCAATTTCTTGCAGCAGGCCTGATGGCTGTCAGGGAAGCCCACAGACATCTGGGGGCTTAATTGTCTCTATGTGATTCTATGCTTTCATGTTCCGCTTCTGCACCTGGTTCCTCTTTTTCTTGGAAGATAGAATCAGTAAAAGTAACATAAATCTTAATATCTTTGTAATTTCTTGACAAGTATGGAAAAAGTGCTGATGTATTATGCTCCTTCCCTCACCTCAGCTACTTGAATGTCCTGGGCACCTATCTCCAGGACACATGATTTACTTAACTCTATCACTGACCACCAGTGGCTCGCCCTAACTACCCTGCCCCCTGCTTTGTACTCAATAAAAGTCAGAGTGTCCAGACACTCGGGGCCACTGCCAGACTCTGTGCTTTGGTTGGCAGTGGACTCCTGGGCCCAAACCCTCTTTCTCTTGAGCTCTGTGTCTTGTGTCTTTATTCCCACAGTTTATCCTCTCCACACAAGTAGAGAGGAGCTCACAGGACCCTATCGGGCTGGATCCTATAGGGGCAGCCACACAGGAAAGTACCAGTGTTGGTCAGGAGACAACAAGAGCAAAAAGAACTCATGAGGCTGAGCCTTCATTGGGGTTTTCACAGGAAGAAATGAGTAAGATAGGGTGGGTAGACTGAGTAAGCCTGGGAATAGAGAGTTTGAACAGTTTCTGTGGGCTCTGAGATACAGCAGTGGCCCATAGTTGTCCCATACTGGTCATGTAATGATTTAGGACAAGGAGAATACAGTCAGCAGTCTGTATCCATGGTGTATCATGAATTCAACTAACCCCAAATGAAAAATATTCAGAACAAAAATAAGCATCTGTATAGAACATGTACAGACTTTTTTCTTGATAACATTCTCTAATATAGTCAAATATTATAAATAATATTGTCAATATTCTCTAATATATGGCAAATATTATGCCATTTATAAGGGACTTGAGCATATGTGGATTTTAGTATCCAAGAGGAGTCCTAGAACCAATGACTTACTTATAAGGAGGGACAACTATATTGCATTCATGTGTGAGAGTTTGATAAAGAAGGTGGATAGGGCTCTGGGCTCTGGAGAGTTTGCTTTGTAAATCAAAGACATACGTGGACAAGATATTTGCTATCTTTAGGAACTGTCTGACTTTGAGAGGGACAGTCCCTTCTAGGACCACAAAGTCCCCAAGATGTCAAAGCATCATAAAAACATAGAAAATAGGGCTGGGTGTGGTGGCTTAAGCCTGTAATCCCAGCACTTTGGGAGGCCGAGGCAGGTGGATCACGAGGTCAAGAGATCGAGACCATGCTGGTCGACATGGTGAAACCCCGTCTCTACTAAAAATATAAAAAATTAGCTGGGCATGGTGGCACGTGCCTGTAATCCCAGCTACTCAGGAGGCTGAGGCAGGAGAATTGCCTGAACCCAGGAGGCGGAGGTTGCGGTGAGCCGAGATTGCGCCATTGCACTCCAGCCTGGGTAACAAGAGCGAAACTCTGTCTCAAAAAAAAAAAAAACATAGAAAATAAAAAACATGATTAGTACACAAAGACTAAGGAAAATATAAAGAAAACTGAACACAAAGCTAATTTACAACTAGGGAGGGTAGGATAAAGAGTTATTAATAATAGTTAAAATTTACTTAAATAAACATTTTAGGCTGGGTGCGGTGGCTCATGCCTGTAATCCCAGCACTTTGGGAGGCTGAGGCGGGTGGATCACAAGGTCAGGAGTTTGAGACTAGCCTGGCCAAGATGGTGAAACCCCATCTCTGTTAAAAATACAAAAATTAGCTGGGAGTGGTGGCGGGCACTTGTAATTCTAGCTACTTAGGAGGCTGAGGCAGGAGAATTGCTTTAATCCAGGAGGCAGATGTTGCAGTAAGCTGAGGTAGCGCCACTGCACTTTAGCCTGGTCACAGAACAAAACTCCATCTCAAAAAACAAACAAATAAACATTTTATAACTTGATATTTGATTAAACTGAAAGATTATGCTATAGCATATATTTTCTTAAAATATATAAAACATTACAGTAAATAGTAACATTAAATAACTCCAGCTAATTTTAATTACTTCTTAATTAACAGGGAAATTAAAATTGATAAAAGCTACACTAAAAATGCCTAGTCTCTTAAAACCATAGATAAAGATCATTATGGTAGAAATTGCAGACAAAGACCTTAGAAGAAATCCCCAGACATGTTAGTGAGGCTGACTGTACAGATATAGACCAACCAAATGAAAGTATATGTCAGTTGTTTCATGCTCAAAAGATGTAAAGACGTCATTCCCACTCTGTGTGACAAGTATTCCCTGATGAAATGTTCTAGAATAGATAACCCACAACTACACTATGGGAAAACACTGCTCTTTAATAATTTGAAAAAATGAGACGAAACCTTCTAAATTCATGCTGTAATGATTTGAAAACAAAGTCTGGAACAGAATAAAATTCAATGAGCCTTTTATATTCACACTGTATGCAGAGTCATTGTGTACACACACAAGCATAGGTGCACAAAAGGTGCTTTGGCTTTTTGCTTCAAACCTCCCCCCTCCATATAAGGACTGACAACCACTGACTATAATGAAAGACCTGGCCACCCCTAGAAGGTTTCCAGGGATGTCATTAGAGAAGATAGCACTTTGTTAATGTCAGAGTATTGTATATTTCAAGATAGCTAGAAATGTTCTCAACACACAGAAATGATAAATATTCAAAGTGATACATAGGCTAAACACCCTAACTTGATCATTACACATTCTGTGCATGTAACAAAATATTACATGTACTCCAGAAATATGTATAAAGGTTATGTATCAATTTTAAAATAAATTAAAATAAATTTTAGAAAAATTCTTCAGGGAAAAAAAAAAAATGTCACCCACCACTGGTTTTTCTCAACTCCTCCACAAGGCAGCGGGCTTCCTCTTGAACACGGTCCTCAATGCTCCTTTTCCCCATTCCAAAATTCCGCAGAGTCATGAGGGAGAAACGCCGGATCTCCTTCCATTTCTTTCCATTGCTGAAAAGGATTCCTAACAGAACAGAAAACAGAAAGTTGGAGGGAAATTCCAAACAAGAAGAGAGCTGACACTTGGCAGCCACATGGATGGGTCAAGTTCTGTCCTAGGAGCCCTTCAAACCTCTGTTTTCCATCCTCCCCATCCCTATAACCACTGCCCAATACATACACATGTACAGATACACATGATACATGCACATTTATCCACATTTACCAAGTCCTTTATTAACTTTTTCAGCCACTGGAAAACTGCCTCTTCCAGAAAACTCCTCTCCATGATCAATCAGGGCCTCCTTCACTGCTTCATATCCATGCAACACCACAATGGGCTTCAGGCCAAAATATACAGTGAACACAGGGCCATAGACTTTTGAGAACTGAGCATAGAAATGGAGATTCAAATAGTAGTAAAAGTCAGCATTTGGTCTATATATTGTCCATGATTCAGACTGATATTATCATCATAATGTTGATATTATTAATCTGTCAAATACTGCTTTAAATATTTGTGGGTTTTACATAAATATAATGATTATTGTTTTAGCTGCACATATACAGTGCCTTCAATGTGCCAGGCCATGGCCCAGGAAATTAGTATGCAGGTTATTACACTCAATCATCATATCAACACCTTGAACTAAATTTGTTTACTCTGTTTTACAGATAAGACAGATTGAATTTTAAAGAATTTATAATTCACTGTCAGTGTCCCACAACTGATAAATAGGAGGTCCAAATTTGAAGCCTGCTTAGTCAACCTCTGATGCCTTAGCAATTTATCAGTTCCCAATGTCCACATTTGAACCAATAATCAGCTGCTAGGACACTGCTTCAGGATCCCTTGCAAAGCTCATCCCATAGGGCTCCTGATGGAGGAATACTGTCATCAATACTAAAATATCTATACCTTTTTAAATCACCCAGATGATTCTACTGCCAAGCCCACTCTTAGATCCACTGGTATAATTATCACAGAAAGAAAGTGGACCCAACAGAGGTAGTATAAGGACGAATGGCATCTCACAGAGGAACAATGTCTTCCATGCTCTACACTCATAGGTTACAGACAGCAGCTTTGTAGAGAGGCCATAAATATTCTGTTACCACCCTGATGGCCCTGACTTATTAATTCTTTCTTTCATTCATTTATGTTTATGATGAACTAATAGATATTTCTTTGACATCAGGCATGATTTGCTTTTTTAAGAAGTTTAATAATCATGGCTAATCTAAGCAAAGTACATAGCATATACCGCTACTGACTTCTCAAATAAAATCTCTAATCACAAAACACTTCCATTACCATTTTCCTTCAGGCAAAAAAAATTATTGCAAATGGCTGTAAAACAAAGAAAAGCAGCAGCCCTTTATCATTTTGATTCTACCTTACAACTTAAAATTTTTCTCTTCTGGCAAAATGCATTATTTTATTTCACTATTCCTGACAATGACACACAAAAGAAAAAAATACTCCACAGGGAGTATTTGCTTTACAACAACATATTTTAACAATTGATCTCTGGTAATACAGGATGAATGTTGAGGAATGTTCCTTTAATATAACATATAACCCATATAAATGACCTCCAGTAATACAGAATGTTCTATGTGACATTAAAGGTTATATATGGCAAGCCCACAGCTAACATCATATTTAAAGATGAAAAGCTAAAAGCTTTTCTTGTAAGATCAGAAACAAGACAAGAACGCCCCCTCTGACCATTCCTGTTTAAGAGTCTAGAAGTCCTAATCAGAGCAATTAGACTAAAGAAAGAAAATATTCATATAGGAGTATTCATACAGGAAAGGATATATTCATATAGGAAAGGATGAAGTGAAGTTGTATGTTTCCTGATGACATAATCTTATATATAGAAAATCCTAAAAACTTCAGTACAAAAGGGCTAGACCTGACAAATTCAGTAAACTTGAAGGATACAAAATCAACATGCAAATATCAGTGGCATTTCTAGACACTAACAACAAACTGTCTGAAAGAGAAATTAAGAGCACAATTCATTTATAGTAGCATCAAAAAATAAGATATTTAGGAATAAATTTAACCAAGAAAGATCTGTATACTAAAAACTACAAATCATTGATAAAAGAAATTGAAAATGACACAATAAATGCAAAGATATCCCATGTTCATGGATTGGAAAACTAATAGTGGTAAAATATCCATACTACCCAAAGCTATATAGTGCTTCAATGCAATCCCTATCTCATCTCATTCTTCACATAAACAGAAAAAAACAATTTTAAAATTTGTATGGAACCACAAAAGACCCCAAATAGCCAAAGCAGTCTTAACAAAAATAATAATAATAATAATAAAGCTAATAATAGAAGCATCACACTATTGAATTGCAAAATATGTTACAAAGCTATAGTAAGCCAAACAGCATAGCATTAGCATAAAAACAGACACATTGATTAAAGGAAAAGGATAGAGAACCCTGAAATAAGCCCATACATCTATAGTCAATTGATTTTTTACGAAGGTGCCAGGAACATACAATGGGGAAAGCACTCTTCAGCAAAAAGTGTTGGGAAAATGGATATTCATATGCAAAAGAATAAAAGAGAACCCTAATTTCACACCTTATACAAGAATTAACTCAAAATGAATTAAAGCCTTAAGCATAAGACCCTAAACTAAAACTTACTAGAAGAAATCATACAGTAAAACTCTATGACATTGGTCTAGGCAATGATTTATTGGATATGATCCTAAAAGCACAGGCAACAAAAGCAAAACTAGACAAAAGAGATTCTGACAACCTAAAAAGCTTCTGCACAGCAAAGGAAATAAGTCATAGAGTCAAGAGACAATCCATAGATTGGAGAAAATATTTGCAAATCAGGCATAAGCTAAGGGGCTAATATCCAAAATATATAGAAACTCAAATGACTCAATAACAAGAAAATAAACAATTCTATTTAAAATGAGCAAAGGGGTTGAGTGCAATGGCTCATGCCTGTAATCCCAGCACTTTGGGAGACCAAGGTGGGTGAACTGCTTGAGCCTAAAAGTTCAAGACCATCCTGGGCAACATAGGAGACCACATCTCTAGAAAATATTTAAAAATTATCCGGGCATGGTGACATGCACCTGTAGTCCCAGCTACTTGGGGGATTAAGGTGGGAGGATTGCTTGAGTTCAGGAGCTAAAGGCTGCAGTGAACCATGATCCCATCAGTACACTCCAGCCTAGGTAACAGAGCAAAACCGTGTCTCCAAAAATAAATAAATAAATAAAACAGGAAAAGGATTTGAGTAGACAATTTTGAAAAGAAGACCTACAAATGGCCAACAGATATATTTTTTAAATATCCAACAAATTTAATTACCAGAGAAATGCAAATTTAAACCACAATGAGATATCACATCACAACTCTTAGATTGGCTATTATTATTATCAAAAAGATAAAAACATAACAAGTGTTGACAAAGATGTGGAAAAAAGTGAAACTTGGGTATGTAAATTAGCATAGTCATTTGAGAAAACATTATGGAGATTTCTCAAAAACCTAAAAATACAACTAACAGATGATCCAGCAATCTCACTCCCAGTATATACCCAAAGGAATTGAAGTCAGTATGTAGAAGAGATATCTGTACTTCCCTGTTTATTGCAGTGCTATTGACAGTAGCCAAGTTATAGAAAAAACTTGTGTCTACCAATAAAGTAATGGATTTTTAAATGTGGCATATATATATAATGAAATGCTATTCAGTCTTTTAAAAAGGAAGAAATAATCTTATTTATGACAGTTTTTAATATTTATGACAGCATGGACGAATTTGGAGGACATCATGTTAGTTAAATAAGCCAGGCACAGAGAGACAAATATCACATATGATCGTACTTCTATGCAGAATCATAAAAAGTTGAACCCATAGAAGTATAGATTAGAGGCTGGGCACTGTGGCGTATATGTGTAATCCCAACCCTTTGGGAGGCCACAGCAGGTGGATCTAAAGTGAGGAGTTAGAGACCAGCCTGGCAAATATGGTGAAACCCCAACTCTACTAAAAAATACAAAAATTAGCCGGGCATGGTGGCATGCATCTTTAGTCCCAGCTACACAGGAGGCGGAGGTTGCAGTGAGCCATGATTGCACCACCGCACTCCAGCCTGGGCAACAGAGTGAGAGTCCATCTCAAAAAACAGAAGTAGAGATTAGAATGGTGATTACCACAGGCTGGCAGGTGGAGGTGGGCCAAATAAAGGGTGACATTGGTCAACAGGTAGAGTTACAGTTAGATAGGAAGAATAAGCTCAGGTGTTCTACTAGACAGCAAGGTGACTATAATTAATATGAATGTATTGTATATTTCAAAACAGCTAAAAAGGAGAGGATTTTAAATGTACTCGCTATAAAGAAATGACAAACATTTGAGATGATGGATATGCTAATTACCCTAATATGATCAATTCAAAATGTATACATGTAAGAAAATGCAATATTGTACCCCATTAATATATGCAATTATAATTTATTACTTAAAAATTAAACAAGGATCCCAGATGGTCGATTAGGAGCAGCTCAGGATTGCAGCTCCCAGTGAAAGTGCAGAGGCCGCTGCAGGTGATCCCCAGGCAATCAGAGCCTGGAGTGGACCTCAGCAGTCCTGCAGCAGAGGGGCCCGACTGCTAGAAGGAAAACTAAGAAACAGAAAGAAATAACTTCATCATCAACAAACTGGACATCCACTCAGAGACCCAATCTGAAAGTCAACAACTACAAAGACGACAGGAGGATAAATACACAAAGATGAGAAGAAACCAGCACAAAAAGGATGAAAACACCTGAAACCAGAACACCTCTCCTCCTACAAGGGATCACAACTCCTCACCAGCAAGGGAACAAGGCTGGACGGAGAATGAGTGTGATGAATTGACAGAATCAGGCTTCAGAAGGTGGGTAATAAGAAACATCTGTGAGCTAAAAGAACATGTTCTAACCCAATGCAAAGAAACTAAGAACCTTGAAAAAAGATTTGACGAAATGCTAACGAGAATAGACAACTTAGAGAGGAATATAAGTGAATTGATGGAGCTGAAAAACACAACACAAGAACTTTGTGAGGCATACACAAGTTTCAACAGCCAAATTGACCAAGCAAAAGAAAGGATATCAGAGGTCGAAGATCAACTCAATGAAATAAAGTGAGAAGGCAAGATTACAGAAAAAAAGGGTAAAAAGGAATGAACAAAGTCTCCAAGAAATGTGAGACTATGTGAAAAGACCTAATCTACATTTGACAGGTGTACCTCAATGTGACAGAGAGAATGAATCCAAGCTGGAAAATACTCTTCAGGACATTATCCAGGAAAACTTCCCCAACCTAGCAAGGCAGGCCAATATTC